CCGGAGGGAATAGGACCCGGGGCGGGAGCCAGATGTGCTTTACGGCACTGCCGGGCAAGGAAGCATCCCGGGCTAGGGAACTAAAGACTACCACGGTGGGAACAGGAGGACGACGGGGTCGGGCAGGTCTGCTTTACGGCAAGGCAGGGTAACGGTGTGGCTCCGAGCGGGGCGAAGACTTAAGCAGGGAACTTTTGCGACAGTGGAAGGAGGAAACGATGCAGCAGGCATCTTTTTGACTGAGGGGTGCCGGCGCCCAAACACTTTCAGCTTTGCGACAGCGGCACCGACAACGTCAGGGAGGTGACACCCTGAAATAGTCGCTTTACGGCTAGAGGAGGCGGTTTCTTCCTTCACGCTACACGCTTTAAAACTGTGTGAGCGGGATCTGGAGAACCCGTGGAGAAGCGGTAGCTTTATAAATGAAAGTCTCTGCCCTCCACGCCACCGAGACCGGAAATGGCTTGCGACACTGTCGCAATCCTTCCACCTTGCCTCACGCCTCTCGTGAGAGGCAGAGCTTTTGGGAAAAAAACCAAAAGCCCATGGATGTTTTAATCCAATTCAACCAAGATCTTAGGTTTAAAAGCCACGAATAAAGAGTCCAAAGAAGCTCCGTTGGGCAGTTTCAAGCAACGGCGCGGACGTTTCCCCCATCTCTCAGACCTGTTAACAAGACCCCATCCCAACTCCCCGATACTCGCGCTAAGGCTGGGGGGCTGTGACGTCACAATTAAGGCTTCTTGCCCCCTGACAAGGCGTCCTGGCTATGATTGGCTGATTCGGATGTAGGCAGTGATGGGGAAGAAGGGCGGGAACAAATCCAGAAACAAAGAATAGAAAGAGTAATACAAAGGGAGGGGCGAATAGAGGGGCTTCCAGCCTGAGGTCCGTATACAGGGTCTTGACAACGCCCACAGCGGCTCCTGGGAGCAGAGGGGTAGAGGACTAAGGCCTGTGCCCAAGTACCCCCAGCCCATTGCGGTGGGGGCGGCGCCCCGGGGGCGGGGCTATGTGGAGCAGAGAGGCGGGGCCGGGGTAGCTGAGAGTGGCCCCCTAGGTGGGGTCATGGAGAAGCCGGAGTCTCTAGGGGCCGCTGGAGGCCACAACGGGGAATCCCACGGAGTGGCAACCAGGGGGTTGCCCGGAGGGATCAGAGGCGTGGAGGCAGGGGCCGGGTTGCCATCCGGAGTAGTCTTGTTTCATGGTTCTGGACCCTCCTTGCACCCAGGGGGAATCGTAGTTCGTAGTCCTGGTTCCAGCCGGTCCCCCGGGGGAGTCCTTGGTTCGGGGCCTAACCAGCACCTTGGACACCATGGGGGGGTAGCGGGCCACAGCCTTGGGTCCAGCGCATACCCTGATGGATTCAACACCGCCAGCCCTGGAACCAGCGTATCCAGGGCATCGAGCCCCCGATCCAGGGGAGCAGGGGTGTACAGCTTGGGGTGCAGTCCGCGTTCCGGGATACCTTGCCCGCATTCCTACAACTCCTATGAGGATCGGCCACGCGGCATCCTCAAAAACAACAGCTCCGACTTGATGCAGAAATCCCCCGGTGCTGAGAAGTAAGGGACCCAGAGCTGCTGACCCGCAGTCAGGAGCCCAGAGGGAGGGTTTCTAGTCACAGGTGGTGGCGGAGCAGGAGGGAAGGGGCGGAGTCCTGAGACTCAGCAGTGAGAGTAGGTGAAGAGCAATTGGGTGGGAAACCTGAGGTCCTGAGCCTTTGGCGAGAGTAGCAGGGGCCCGGTAAACCCTTGCTACATAGGTGGTTATCATCGTGTCAAACTTCACCCACACCCCGATACCTCTGCCCACATCGTGCTTGTAACTACCAAGGAGATCAAGAAAGACTTTTTGAATAAAAGAATGAGGGAGAGCTGTGAGGAGGGGATCCCTAGAACATTTCCTCCCTTTTTTGTGTGTGCCCTGCCCCGGCCGCCCGCCCCTTTTCACCCCTGACCAGGAAAAAGTCTCAGCGCTGGGACGAGATGAATATCCTGGCCACCTACCACCCTGCTGGCAAGAACTACGGATTTATGAAGGTGGATGAGCCCGAGACTCCCTACCACAGGTATAAGCCCTCAGCCCTAGCTTTTCCTCTCAATTCAAAAGTGGAACGGGGGATGCGAGAGGCAGAGAGGCTCAGGGACTGGCTACTGCCTGATGCCACCCCCCTACATGGTTCCCCCCTTCTCCGCAGGCTGCAGGACAGCGATGAGGACCTGTCTCCAGGGTCTTCCCACACGGTGACACCTGAGGCGCTGGCAGAGAGGTAAGAGTCCTACCAGAGATCAGTTGGGGTGTGGGGCCTCTTCTTCCCTCCACCCCTTAACTCTGGAGTCTTAAGCCAGCTCTGCCTTTTGGCCCCCCAAGTAAGAGGTGCTACAATTCCCATCAGGCCTGACCAAGACCCATCAGGAGGTCCTGCCATCTTGGCCCTATCCACCATCTGCCCCCATTGTTCTTTCCCTTCAGTGTCCCCAGCTAGTCTCCCTCCCCTTCAGGTTTGCAACAATGGACAATTTCTGCCCAAAGGTCCTCCAGTACAGTGATAACAGAACCTCAGGGTCTCCGGACAACTTTTCCAAGACATGTGAGATGAGGGGTGGGGGTTGAATGGGAAGGGAAGGCAGAAAGTGAGCCTTCAGTGAGAGCTGGCAGGAAAGCCAAGCTCTCACACTGGCTCACAGACTCCAGTGATTTTGACAAGCGCCGCAAGGCCCACTATGATGAAGGGAAGTTCCTCAGGACTCAGAAAGCCCTACCCTTCGATGATGAGGAGGACAGCAATGGGGGTAGTGCAAGTATTGGCACTGGCAGTCAAGGTGTGATTCTGGACCCAGAGCCCAGGCCTGTGGAGCGAGGCTGGGCAGGAGGATTGGCCAGAGGAGTCAACGATGAGACTGGCCTGGTGGCCAGGAACCGTATGCTGGAAGCCAAGGGTTAGCTATGGAGGGGAGGAGGAGGCAACTTAACTCAAGGAGGCTGTAGTAGTCCAGAGTCAATTCCTGTCTTCCCTACTATAGTCCCTCTTCCCCAGTGGGTATCAGACTCAGGGTCCTGCTGCCTGAGGCGGAGGTAATGCTGGGAGGTGACCCGAGGGTGGATAGAGGACAGCTGAAATGGAGTCCCCGCTCAGGATAAGATCCCCAGGGAAGGCTGACTGGTGAGGAGGAACAAAAGCCCAAGAGAACCATGAGGGATGGAGAAGTCACTGAAGGTTTTCTAAAATGGGAGGGGGGAAGAGAAGTGAGAAGAGATCTCGGGGCTTGCACTTCTCCCCTGTGGTGGGGCCCGCAGTGGTGACAGCCAGACTGGGGACAGGAATACCCCAGGTGGCCATAAGAATCAGATTGATTTGGGTGACTCTGCAGGTTCCTCTACCTCCGGAAATCCGCCCCCAGCCTTGACCCTTCCTGCATCAGAACAGGAGATTGATCATCAACGCAAGGAGTATTACAGCAAAGGAAGATACCTGAGGTCCTGCTCCCACCCGGAGCTTGCAGACACAGACGATGAGCAGCAGAACAGTGAGAGATGGGCCAGGTCAGGCTGGTGGCAGGGAGCCTGAGACCAACAGCCTGATGGCTCCCAACCCTGCTCCATGGTGCTTCCAGGCTCCACCAGCTTGACCTGGGCGATTGAAAATCCAGTAAGCACTGAGGTCCGTCTGCTGGACCATAAAGAGAGCCCCTTTCAGGATCATAAAACCACTGAGAACTCCCTGACAATGACAGTGACACCATCACAGCCAGGTGAGGGCACCAGGCCACCATCTCCCTGGGCCTGGCTCCTAGCAAGTTCTCACTCCCAACTGCTCACTCCTTTCAAGCCAGTAGATCAGCAACAGGTAGTAGGATAGGCCCTAAATATCACGGAGCGGAGCCCAAAGCTGACATTGTATAGGACAGGAACCAACGCAATCCAAAAGGGGTTGGGGCCGCCTTCAGCATGCCACCACCCCTTGGCCACATAGCTCCTCGATGACTCCTCTCTACCACCCCACCCTACTCCACATACCACCCTGTCCTCTAAGGACAGTGGATCCCAAATGGTGTCCAGCTGGTGTCAGTGGCTGGTGTCCAAGGGACTGAGCTGGCAAAGCCCAGGGGGCTCAGAGTGGGAACCTGGAAGTAACCAAAGTCCCCCAAACAGGAACGAGCATAGAGTATGCCTGAGCAAGGGCCGGTGGGTGCTTGCACTGGCCAGGGAGGTAGAGGGCCTGAGTGGATAGGTTTTGGGGACTCTGGGGGGAGGGGTCACAATGGGCAAGATCTCATGCTTATTTCAAGGAAGCCAGTAACCCAACCCCTTCTCTCTCCAGATGAAACCCTGCGGCTTCGATGGAGTCAAGAGGAGGAGATCAGATGGTGGAAAATGTAGCCAGCTCGGGATGGGGTGGGGGCAACATCTCCTGTCCTCACCACCCTAGGGGTGCACAATAAAGAGAGAAGATCAGGAGTTTGGGTGCTGTGCCCAGGCTGGGCCTGGTTCGTCGGTGAAGAGAGGGGAGGAGGGAGGGAAGTTCACACACAGGAAACCTCGAGCATGGAGAGCAAAGAAGCAAACTCGGAGCAGCCCAGGGCCCTGGACTCCGCAGGAAGCTAGGAGCCGGAGGAGGCCCAAGCTGCAGTCAGATAGCACGGACTGGTGTGATTACTTCAGTTCATCACAAATTTACTAGTGTCGTCCTTAATTCTTACGATAATCCTGGAGGTAGAGGTTCTCATCTCTGGCTTCCTGATGAGGAAACTGAGGTACCAGGGAGTGTGCCCAGGGCTACACAATCTCTGAGTGACAGAGCTGGTATCTGCTAGGCTCCGAAACCTCAACCGCTAAAGAAGAAGCAGAGAGAGACTAGGGCCTGGTAGGAAGGTGACAGCAAATAGTCTCTGAGGGCGGGCCTGTGGCTTCTCTGATCTCAGGCCCCTCTCCGCCCCGGCCCCGCCCCGGCCCCTCCCAGGCCTGTCTAGAAGTGTGGGGTGAGAGCTTCTCCTAGGACACCCCTTCCCCTTGGGGAAGAATTGCACCCCCCAGGCCCTACCCAGGAAAGGACCCTCTCCTCGTTCATCATCAGCTCCCCTGCTGGACTACATCCCCACCTGCCCACTTGGCCTCCAGGGCTTGTAGCCCGCAGCAGCCTGAGATGACGGTCAAGCTGGATTTTGAGGAATGTCTGAAAGACTCACCCCGGTTCCGGTAAGCATATTTAGGACTAGAGGTGGGGGTGGTGGTTGGGGGAGAGGGCAAGGTCCACCCTCCCCACCCCACCCCTGCCACCACACACACACACCATTCACCAGGCTAGATCTCCCTTCCAGGTAGTAGGCCTGAAAGGGACAAGAGCGAGTTTTGTGTGCCCATGTGGTACCTCTGCTGTCCAGTCTAGCTACTCCAGTGCTCTCCACCCACTGCGTGCTCTTCCTGGCCTCTCCAGCCTCCCTCTCACCCTCAGAACTGGCATTCCCTTGTCCTTCTCCCTGGGACCCCTGCCCCTCCCCCAGCACCTGCTCTAGGGCGGTTAGCAACTTCCTGCCTTGGCCACATCCACCCTCCGTCTACCCTTCCTGCTCTAGTCTGGGTGGCAGTAGCTCCTAGACTGTGTGTACTGTGTGTAGAGTGAGCTAGCAAGAGAGGGTGGTGGGTGGGTCTTGTCAACCCAGCAGCTCTCTCTGTCTGCACCCACCCACCACCCCACAACCCCAGCCCCCGGACTGACAGACTAGATAGACCCAAGCTCTGCTCCTGTGACCCCAACCCTCCTTTCCCAGAGCCTCTATCGAGCTGGTGGAAGCCGAAGTGTCAGAATTGGAGACCCGTCTGGAAAAGGTGATCCTGACAGAGAGACAAGACCCAGGAGCAGGATGAGCGGGAGAAAGGGGCAGGATGAGCATTAGAGGGGCAAAGCTGTGGGAGGGAGAAAATTGGTAGGGACTGAGTTTCAGGGATTATTGAATGCTGTGTGGGGTAGATATTTTGGGATCTACGGAGAAGCAAAAAGGTGGTTCTGTGCCCTCGAGGAGCTCAGGATCTTGGGAAACAAAGATTCACTGTTCAGCTCTTAGCACCCGCGTCGTACCAGGCCCTGGGTGTTTGTGGAGAGCAAGACCGTTTCTGCTCTGAGGGAGCCCATAGACTGACTGGACAGGAAAACCCGTGAAACATTTAAACCCAATACAGTAAGGCCTTTCTTGATCTCTCTTTATAAAACTGCACTCTCTCTGTCACACACACACACACACACACACACACACACACACACACACTCTCCCACCCCACCTTAAAAAAAAAAACAGTTGCTGTCCTGTCGATTCTGACTCATGGTGACCTCATGTGTTCCATAGTGTTTTCAATGCTGATTTTTCAGAAATAGATCACCAGGCCTTTCTTCCAAAGAGCCTCTGGGTGGACTTGAACCTCCAACCTTTTGCTTAGCAGCTGAATGCATTAACCATTTGCACCACCCAGGGACTCCCATTCCCCTTCCTCTGCTTTGTTTTTCTCTGTAGCACTTAGCTCTATCTGACCTGTTACATGCTTACTTGTTGTATTAGTTTTCTATTGGTGTGTAACAAATTAACACACATTTAGTGGCTGAAAACAATACAGTTATCTCACAGTTGCTGTGCGTCAAGAGTCTGGGCATGACTTAGCTAGGTCCTCTGCTCAGGGTCTCACAGGCTGCAGTCAAGTTCTTGGCCAGGGCGGCAGTCTCATCTGAGGCTTGAGTTTTTCTTCCAAGCTCACGAGATTGCTGGCAGAATTCAATTCCTGTTTTAGAACTGAGACCTCCATCTCCTAGAGGTTGCCTGCAGTTCCCTGCCTAGGTTCTCTCCCTAGGCAGTTCTTATCATTGCAGCCTGCTTCTAGTGTGTGCTAGCGAGACGGACAATATATATCGTAATGTACAGTTCTCATCATAACAGCCTGCTTCTAGCATATGCTAGCAAGACAGAGTCAATATATGTTGTAATCACAGGATTGACATTCCTCACCTTTGCCATACTCTACTCGTTAGAAACAAGTCACAGGTCCTGCTCACACTCAAGGGGAGGAGATTATACAAGGATGTGACTCATGGTGGGTCATCTTAGTGCATGTCCGTCACAGTTGCCTATTTGTTTCTTGTCTGTTTTTCCCCACTAGAATATAACTGCCGTGAGGACAAGGACTTTCATGTTTTGTTTTTTGCTTAATCTCCAATGCTTATACCAGAGCCTGACAGCTAGTAGGTGACCAACTAATATGTATTGAGGGAATGTTCAGTGGTCACAGAATAGGACAAGTACGAACAGAAAATACTATAGAATTTAATACCAGCCACGTGGAAAATTCTTGTGAGCCAGACAGTGTGTGAAATAGAGTTTCTGGGGAGCTCTGGGTCCAAGCAGGTGGGGCAGGGCAGGGAGACATATGTGGGAGTAGACAACAACAGACACTGTGAAGGTCAAGCTGACACTGGCCTTGGCAACAGGCTGAGAGGAATGGACAGGGGGCTTATTCCAGACATGGAGCAGGGCAAGCAAAGAGACGGAGCTGAGAACACAGGGTGTGTTTTGAAAATGTGGGAGACAAAGATAACACAAGAAAACTACAGACCAATATCTCTTATGAATCTAGATACAAAAATCCTCAACAAAATACTAGGGAACAGAATCCAATAGCATATTAAGAGAGTCATACACCATGACCAAGTGGGATTTATTCCAGGATTGCAGGGATGGTTCAACATTAGAAAATCAATCAACGTAATGCACCACGTCAATAGAACAAAGGAGAAAAACCACATGATCATCTCTATGGATGCAGAAAAAGCATTTGATACAATCCAACATCTTTTCTTGATGAAATCTCTCATGCTGATTGGAATAGAAGGGACATTCCTCAATATGATTCAGGGCATATATGAAAAGTCACCAGCCAACATTATACTTAATGGAGAAAGACTGAGAGCTTTCCGCTTGAAATTGGGAACAAGACAAGGGTGCCCACTCTCACCACTTCTGTTCAATATTGTATTATAAGTCTTAGCCAGAGCAAGAAGACAAGAAATATAAAAGGTATCTAAATTGGAAAAGAAGTAAAATTATCTTAATTCACAGATAATATGATCCTATATATAGAAAATCCCAAAGAGTCCACAAGAAAACTTCTAGAACTAATAGAGGAATTCAAAAGTTGCAGGGTACAAGGTCAAAAAGCAAATATCAGTTGGGTTTCTATACAGCAGCAATGAGAAATCTGAAAGGGAATTTAGGGGAACAATTCCATTTACAATAGCATTGAAGAGAATAAAATACCTAGGAATAAATGTAACCAGGGATGTGAAGGACTTCTACAATGAAAACTATATAACACTGCTGAAAGAGATTAAAGAAGACTTAAATAAGTGGAAAGATCTTCCATGTTCATAGATTGGAAGACTTAATGTCGTTAAGATGTCAATAATACCCAAAGCGATCTTTAGATTAGTGCAATCCCTATCAAAATTCTAACAGCTTTCTTTACAGAAATAGAAAAAACAAATCCTCAACTTTATATGAAATAGCAAGAGGCCCCTAATAGCTAAAACAATGTTGGAAGAGTAGAACAAAGTAGGAGGACTCACACTTCCTGATTTTAAAAGATACTTTACAGCCACAGTAATCAAAACAGCCTGGTACTGGCATAACAATAGACACATAGACCAATGGAATACAATTGAGGTCCCGAAATAAACCCATACATCTGTGGTCAATTGATTTTTGACAAGGGTGCTAAGCCCATTTGATGGGGAAAGAAGAGTCTCTATAGTAAATCGTGTTGGGAAAATTGGATTTCCACATGCAAAAAAAAGAAACAAGATCCATGCCTCACACTATATACAAAAACAAGTTCAAAATGGATTAAGGACCTAAATGTGCAAACTGAAACCATAAAATTCTTACAAGAAAAAGCAGGGTCAATGCTGTCAGGTCTAGCTTTCAACAATGGATCAACTAATATAATAACAAAAGCACAAACAACAAAAGACTAGATAAATGGGATCTCATAAAAATTAAAAACTTTGTTCATCAAAAGACTTTACCAAAAAAGTGAAAAGACCAACTACTGACCGGGAGAATATCTTCAGAAATCATACATCAAACAAGAATCTAATAACCAAAATATGTATAAAACTTCAACAACTACAAAACGACAAATAACTCAATCATAAATTGGGCGGAGGACTTGAATAGACATTTCACCAAAAAGGATATTCAAATTGCCACCAAACACAAGATGTTCAGCGTCGTTAGCCAACAGAGAGACGATGCAAATCAAAACCACAATGAGATACCATTTCACTCCCATTAGGATTGCTAAGATTAAAAAAAAACAGAAAATAACAAATGGTGAGATGTGGGGAAATTGGAGCCCCTTATACACTGGTGGTGGGAATTCAAAATGGTACAGACATTGTGTAAAACAGCGTGGTAGTTCCTCAAAAAACTAACAATAGAACTACCATATGACCCAGCAAGTCCACTCCCAGCTATATACCCAAAAGACTTGAAAGCAGAGACTGGAAGAGACGTGTAAATCAATGTTCATTGCAGCACTATTCACAATAGCCAAAACGTGGAAACAACCTAAATATCCATGAATGGATGGATAAAATATGGTACATACATACGGTGGAATACTACTCACCCAGTAGGAGAAATGAAGTCTTGATACATGGTACAGTATGGACGGAGCTTGAAGATATGCTGAGTGGAATAAGCCAATCACAAAAGGACAAATATTGTATGACTTCACTTGTATAAAAAGACACGAAAAGGCAAATATAGAGAGAACAAAGTTTATTAGTGATTACTAGGGTCGCTATGAGTCAGAATCAACTCGATGGCAATGAGTTTGGTTTTTGTTTGTTTGTTTTCTTTTTTTGTTTTTGTAGGGCCAGGAGGGAGGGGGAAAAGGGGTTTAATGGTGGTGGAAAAATCACATTGATTAAGGGTGGGGTTGCACAGCCAATTATTGTAATTGCTGTCAGTAAGTCGTACACCTGCAAAAAGTTGAACTGGCAAAAGTTCTGTGATATATTTTTTTAAAAAAGAGCAGCTACTGAGGCTGTTTATGTACAACTGAACACCTCATGGTATTTGGTTCCTTGGTTTGTAGGTTTAGGGTAATGGTTTCATGGGACATCCCAGTTAATTGACCTAATAACATGTTTAGCACTTCTTTTCTACCTCCTAGTTCATTGCGTAGTGCCTGGGGTCTTAAGAGCTTGCAAGCAGCCGTTCAAGGCACAACAACTGGTCTCTATTCACCTGGAGCAACAGAGGAAGAAAAGTCAGGAATAATAGGAGGACATGGAATGTGTGGCTAACTGTCTCCTTTGCTATGAGACCAGAAAAAGTGGATGGTGCCTGGCTACTATTACTGAACATTTTGATCAAAGATTCCATAGAAGGATCCTGATCAAAAGGGGGAAAATGTAGAACAGAATTTAAAATTCTCATGGACTCTAGACTTTCCGGAACCATATAGAGGCTGGATGAACCTCTGAAACTATTGCCCTGAAATAATCTTTAAACTGTAAAGCAAAACTATCCCTTGAAGTAAACTTAAAACCATACTTAACTAGTTAAAAAAAAAAAAGGTCTGCCTTGAGCATTATGCTTTTTTAAGAACTATCTATGTGGGATCAAACTGACAATAGCAGCTGACAAGATTAGATAGGAACCTTAGGGGGCAGTGAGTTTATGTCAATGAGGGAGGAACAACTCAGAAAAAGAGGGTGAGAATGGTTGCACAACACAACTCGAAGAATGTAATCAGTATCACTAAATTGTACACGTAGAAAGTGTTGAATTGGTGTATGTTTTGTTGTGTATATTGTCAACAACAACAAAATAAAATTTAGAAGGAAAAGAAGACCTGGGAGAGCAGGACTGAGCTGGAGAGAAGTGTAGATGGGGTTGGATAGAAAGGACACAGACCTGGGGGTAAGGAAGTGGTGTGGAGTGGTGGTCTCACTGGGTGTGGCAGCAGCCAGCACAACTCCCTGTTGCCCTTTGTTGCTTCCCAGCTCCTCAAGCTGGGCACCTGCCTCTTGGAAAGCGGGCGCCATTACCTTGCTGCTGGCCGCGCCTTCATAGTTGGCATTTGTGATCTGGGCCGCCTGGGTCCACCAGAGCCAATGATGGCGGTATGTGGAGGGCCCCAACCAGGGTGGGATGGGGTCTGGGATGCAAGGAGGTCCTATGGACTGGGAGGGTTGACTTTGGGGTTTGCAGGACCCAGGCCAGAGCAGGGCTGGGGCTGCCACTAGAGACAACCATAGCTGGCTCGGTCTAGCATTTGGAAGGCCCCACTGCCCCATGCCGGGTACTCTCTCCATGCGTCTTCTCACCTAGGAGTGTCTGGAAAAATTCACTGAAAGCTTGACCAACAAACTGGACAGCCATGCGGTGAGTGTGAGGTGGTAGGGCTGGTGGGGAGGCAAAATTGTCTGTGGTCCTGACCCCCACCCGCAACTTCTGCTTCCCCTCAGGAGCTTCTAGATGCTACCCAGCATACACTGCAGCAGCAAATCCAGACCCTGGTCAAGGAGTGAGTTGGGAGGGAAGGGGGCCTTCTTTACCAGAAACCAGCCCTCCAGCCCTCTTCCCATTGCCACAGGGGCCTCCCAGAATGAAGGAGTTGGTCCCCTCGACATCATATTGCATCACCACCTCTTCCCCAGATGTCTATGGGATGTGAGATTGAGAGTCCCAGGTGGCCTGACTTCTGTCCCCGCCATCCCAAGGATCCCCTTGGATTTCAGTTGTATATAGGCTAACTGAGAACAGTGGCCGTTCAATAGTAGAATTCTCACCTTCCATGCAGCAGACCCGGGTTTGATTCCTGGCCAGTGCACCTCATGCACAAGTTTCACCAGAGCTTCCAGACTAAGACAAACTAGGAAGAAGGGCCTGGTGATCTACTTCTGAAAATCAGTCAGTGAAAACCCTATGGATTACAATGGTCTGATCCCATTGTGCGTGGGGTCGCCATGAGTCAGGGGTCAACTTGATGGCAACTAAGAACAACATAGGTTAACTGAAAGGACTTGAGTGGGCCTTATCCTGGGATTTCTCTGTGGGGGGCAGATGGGTGTATCTGTGATTCTGTATTATCCACCCCCCCACCCCCCACCCCCAGAGGTCTCCGGGCTTTCCGAGAGGCTCGCCGAGATTTCTGGCGGGGGGCTGAGAGCCTGGAGGCGGCTCTTACCCACAACGCAGAGGTCCCCAGGCGCCGGGCGCAGGAAGCAGAAGAAGCAGGAGCTGCTCTGAGGACTGCTCGAGCCGGGTACCGTGGCCGGGCATTGGATTACGCTCTGCAGGTACCTGACCTCAATCTGTCCTCCTGGGTTCCAGGGTCTCAGGTGTCAGATTAGAGGCTGGGGCAGTCCTAGTATATAGTGGGAGAGGCGCTGTTTTTTCCAGACTGACCTGAGGTCTTTTGGGGCCCTCAGATCAATGTGATTGAAGACAAGAGGAAGTTTGACATCATGGAGTTTGTGAGTTGTGGTGGCAAGGGTAAAGGGGGAGGAGCCTGTAGACACAGAGCAGGGGGGAAGAGGGAGAGAGGGGTCCTTCCTCAGCTCTACCCTGCCTGCCACACCCAGGTGCTGCGCTTGGTGGAGGCCCAGGCTGTCCATTTCCAGCAGGGCCATGAGGAGCTGAGCCGGCTGGGCCAGTATCGCAAGGAGCTGGGTGCGCAGGTAGCAGGAGGTGGAGGGAGGCTGGGGGTTCTGAGATGACTCTCCTGGCATAGTGGGGGGAGGCTAGAGGAATCCGAGATGTCTTTCCTTTGCCCAGTTGCAACAGCTGGTCTTGAACTCAGCACGAGAGAAGAGGGACATGGAGCAGAGACATGTACTGCTGAAACAGAAGGTAAGGGGCAGACAGGCCTGTGGCCTTGTTCTCTGCCCAGCCCACTTGCCCTCTGACCCTCTTGTTCCCCAGGAGCTGGGTGGGGAGGAGCCAGAGCCAAGCCTAAAGGAGGGAACTGGTGGCCTGGTCATGGAAGGACATCTCTTCAAACGGGCCAGCAATGCATTTAAGACCTGGAGCAGGTGAGCAGAGGATACGCAATCAGTCAGGCCCACCAAATTAATTTTTTTTTTTTGCTTGAGTGGTTATAGTTTGCTAAGCATAGCAGTGAAAAACAGAGAGAACCCGACTTCATAGACTTTATGTTCCATCAGCAAAGATAGACAATATAGTAATTAAATAATAATATATAATAATATAATACATTAGAAGGTAGTGCCATAAAAAAACTCATTGTCATTGAGTCGATTCCAACTCACAGTGACCCTATAGGACAGAACAGAGCTGCCCCATAGGGTTTCCAAGGAGTGGCTGGTGGATTTGAACTGCTGACTTTTTGGTTAGCAGCTAAACGCTTAACCATTGCACCACCAGGGCCCCAAAGTAAGGTGATGGGGATGTGAAAACCTGGGAGGGATTGCAATTTTAAGTAGGGGGTCAGTGTAGGCCTCATAAGAAGGTGACTTCTGGGCAAAGGCTTGAAGGCTGTCTGCGGGAAGTATGTTCTAGGCAGAAGGACGAGCCAGTGCCAAGGCCCTGAGATGCCTGGAGTGTTCAAGGAACAAAGAGGAGGCCGTGGGCCTGGACAGAGTGAGGGAGAAGGAAAGAGATAAAGTCAGAGTTAATGAGGGCATGGATCACTGTAGGTCTCGTAGGCCTTTGTAGGGACTTGGGCTCCAGTCTGAAGGAACTGGGAACCCACTGCAGGGTTTGGAGCAGGGTGGTGATATGCTCTGACTTGACTTCTTTCCCCTGCAGGGCCACTGTGAGCACATATGGGGTCTTTGTACAAATTAGAAAATGGAGCCCCTTCCCCAAGATTCTTCCGTCTGTCAAAAAAAAAAAAAAAAAAGCAATAGATTTATATTATTAGATAAAACATTTTACTTCATAAATCTATCAAATCTGGATTGTCTAAGGTGTGAATAGCCTCGCTTAGATGTCCACACTTCTCTGGAATGTCTCATGGGATGTTCAGCCCAGGTCTCTCTCTTCTCAGCAAGATCCTTGTGGGGCAAAGGGCACAGCCTCTCTTCTGGCCCTGTCCAATGCCTCACCCTGATGCTATGTCTATAACTCTATTTCCACCCTTTCCAGACGCTGGTTCATCATTCAGAGCAACCAGCTGGTATATCAGAAGAAGTACAAGGTGGGTAGGCCCAGAGCCCTGGATGCCCGGGTCCCAGGGAGATGCAGCCCTTGCCTGCCACTGGCTGCATGGCTGCCCCGTCTACCCCCACCGCCAGGATCCTGTAACTGTAGTGGTGGAGGACCTTCGGCTCTGCACAGTGAAGCTCTGCCCCGACTCAGAAAGGCGGTTCTGCTTTGAGGTGGTGTCCCCCAGCAAGTGAGTGCTGGTCCAGGGGTGACACTCACGTATTTACCAACCTGAGAGCCAGGGCTAATCACAGTGGCACCCTGGAGCAGGGTCTCAGAGGCATCCATGCAGCCCCAGGCATTAACCCTTCAGTGGTTGGACTGTGGTATAGTTTAGGGGGTGGTCGGGACAGAGGGTCCAGGGTAATGGGTGATATTTATGAGGATATTATCAATTGATACAGAATTATTTCAATATAACTGATACCAGTTAAATACCAGCTGAATGTCAACCTGCCCAGCCTGCCACATTGCTCCCCAGGCCTCAGTCGCCCTCCCCATCTCCCTCACCCCTCTGGCCCAGGTCCTGCCTCCTCCAGGCTGACTCAGAGCGCCTGCTGCAGCTGTGGGTCAGCGCCGTGCAGAGCAGCATCGCCTCCGCTTTCAACCAGGCTCGCCTTGATGACAGCCCCCGGGCTCCAGGCCAGGTACCTTCCCATGGGAGTGCAGGACAAGGCTACCCCAGGAGATGGAGGACTCTTTCTTGAGGGCTCCCTGACTACCCCCTCTTCCCCTGTCTCCCCCAGGGCTCAGGACACCTGGCCATAGGCTCTGCTGCCACCCTGGGCTGTGGCGGGATGGCCAGGGGCAGGGAACCTGGGGGAGTTGGGCATGTGGCAGCCCAGGTGCAGAGTGTGGATGGCAATGCCCAGTGCTGCGACTGTCGGGAGCCAGCCCCGGAGTGGGCCAGCATCAACCTTGGGGTCACCCTCTGCATTCAGTGCTCTGGCATCCACAGGTCACCCCCCAAAGCCCCTAGCATGGGCCCCACTCCTTCCAGCTGCATACAGGACCCCCAGATAGAGCCCATTGTGCAGGCCCCTTCTCTTCCTACCTGCCCTGCCTTCCTCTCTTAGATCCTGGTCTGTCACTGGGTACCAGGCCAGGGCTGAGCCTAGTGGGACATAAGGTGGACCTAGGTGGGCCCTCAGTGTATTGGTCTGGGGCAGGATTGGGGGACCCCCTAGAGGAGTTTATCGGCTTGGTTGGAGGAGGATGGGGGAGCAGAGAGAAGAGGTTGTGAGCCGTTAGCAAGTCCATAAGGTTCTCATCCCGGTCTGTTTGGCGAAAGGAGCGAAGGAGAATGACATGGACAGAATTGTCTAGACCCAAGCGCCATGAGAGAAGGGAGGTGGCCGGAGAGGATAAGGGCCTTAAAATGAAGTACAAGGGAAAAGGGAACAGTGAGCTTACAGGATCCTTCCAGAACCTTCTACCCACACTGCTGCCTCCTGGTCCAGCTCCCACCCTCCAACACAGGACCTTGTCACCAAGTCTTTTCAGGAGCAGCAGCAGCAGCCTCCCCACCCCACTGCTCCACAGAGGGTCTGATTCCCACTCTGACCCTCCAGGAGCCTTGGTGTCCATTTCTCCAAAGTCCGCTCTCTGACCCTTGACTCATGGGAGCCAGAACTAGTGAAGGTGACTTGGGGTATAGTGAAGACTGAGGGTGGGGGGAGCACAAAGGGCTGAAGAGCCTTGAGAACTCAGACACTCACCCCCACCCTGCTTGTCTGCATCTGCCTGGGCCCCCTGAAGCTGATGTGCGAGCTGGGAAACGTAGTCATCAACCAGATCTATGAGGCCCGTGTGGACGCCATGGCAGTGAAGAAGCCAGGGCCCAGCTGCTCCCGGTGAGGCTGGGGGGAGGGGTCCGGAGCTGCCATCCATGGGCCTGGATGGTGGTGAGGAGGGTCTGGGATGGGAAGGGGGAAGACTGTTCCCTCTCCCTCTCCCAGGCAGGAGAAGGAGGCCTGGATTCATGCCAAGTACGTGGAGAAGAAATTCCTAACCAAGCTTCCTGAAGTGCGAGGGCGAAGAGGCAGCCGGGGCCCCCCCCGGGGGCAGCCTCCTGTGCCCCCTAAGCCTTGCATCAGGCCCCGGCCAGGGAGCTTCAGCCGCAAGCCAGGTATACGGGTTAGTTGGGCATTTGTGGAGGGCCTGCTGTGTGCTGAACGCCACGCCAGACCCTGGGGGGTGCACAGCATTTGAGCCCCAGGCCCCCCTTGACAACGTTGGGACCAGACAACACCACCCCTGATTTTACAAGGGAAGAGTTTCAGGGTTACAGTGACATGTGATACTAAGAATGGAAGGCAAGCGGGTTGGGAGTAGAGAGGGAGGGCTCTGTCAACAGCCTAAGAAAGGGCGGAAGTGGGAAGGAGCTTGGGGTCTCTAAAGGTCTGTGAAGAGGGGTGTGAGTCTGGCTGGAGCAGAGGGAGTTGAGAGCTGAGGCTGAGTGTCAGCGAGAGTCAGCTCATCCATGACATCCCAGCCAGTCTGGGTGGTTAGACAGGATGAGGTAAACGACGCTGTCTATCCCCCACACCTTGGCAGCCCCCCCCAACATGAACACCCACACTTACACACACTCACACATGCTCCTACACACACACGCCTGCCCAACCCCACCTCCCATCACGGGCCTCGGCATCACGAAGGCCTCGCCACAAGTTAGAAGTGATCTAGGTTTGCGCTCGACTACTAACTTAAAGGTTGGCTGTTTGAACCCAGCCAGAAGCACCATGGGAGAAAAGCCTGGCAATCTGCTTCCATAAAGATTACAGCCAAGAAAACCTTATGCAGCAGTTCTACGCTGTAACACGTGGGGTTGCCATGAGCTGGAATCAACTCAGTGGCAATCGGTTAGGTTTTTGGTTTTTATTCCATCACAGTACCAGGGAGCCACGTGGAGGGTTTTCTTCCCAAACTCACAGCTGATCTCCCCTAACAGAACTAAACCCCTCTAACAGAGCCCCCCTCTGATGACCTGGGCAGCCTGCACTCTGGCGCCCTGCTGTTTCGAGCCTCTGGGCATCCTCCATCCCTTCCCACCATGGCTGATGCCCTTGCCCATGGAGCCGATGTCAACTGGGTCAATGGGAGTCAAGAGAATGCCACGCCACTGATCCAAGCCACAGCTGCTGTGAGCGCCTTGCTGCCTCCCCGCCCCACCCCTCACCCTCCACCTGCTCCCAGGGCTGCCCACCCCTCACCCTCCACCTGCTCCCTGGGACCCCTACCCCATGAAGAGTAATAAGCAATGTAAACTGGCTGCTAAAAGTGCATGCTTTGGAGACAGACAACCCGGATTTGAATCCACACTCTCGCCACTTGCAGGAGACTTTGAATAAGTTACTAACCTGTATGTGCCTGTTTCCTCATCTATAACGTAGGGATCCACATACTCAAGGTTGCACTGTGGATTTAATGTACGAATACATATAAAGAGCTACAGCAGAGCCTGACACACTTGGCTGCACCCCACACTCCTGATTCCCGCCCCACCCTCTGCACTGACTGACCCCACCCCAAAGCATCTCTAAATCCGCCTCTAAAGATGACACCTGTCTCACCCGTCTTGACTCCTTGACGCAGAATTCTCTTCTGGCCTGTGAGTTTCTCCTCCAGAACGGAGCGAACGTGAACCAAGCGGACAGCGCAGGCCGGGGCCCGCTCCACCACGCAACCATTCTTGGCCACACGGGGTAGGGGCAGCAGGGATGGCGACACGGGGAGGAAGGCTCCGGAGGTGAGTGCCTGGCTGAACCTGGCTGTCCTCTCCAGGCTAGCGTGCTTGTTCCTGAAACGGGGGGCTGACCTGGGGGCTCAGGATTCAGAAGGCAGGGACCCTCTGACCATCGCCATGGAAACAGCCAACGCTGATATCGTCACGCTGTGAGGATGCCTGAAGGGGCGGGGCTAGAGCTTGGGCGATCCACGTGGGGCGGGGTTAACGTGGAAGACCCGAGCGTGCCCCCCGGGGCCCAGGGAGGGGCGGGGCCAGAACCTGGGCCAGAAGTCTCCTGGTGCCCCTAGGCGAGAAAGGATGCTACCAGTGTGGATTGGGGCATGTAGTAGGAAGGCGAGCGGGACAGGGTCCGAGGGTGGTGAGCTCGTCCTTAGTGAGAGGCATCATTCAGGCATCAACATGTTGTCAGGCATCTTTTAAGTACTAGATCCTAGGGAAACAGATGAATCAAGCACAACCCAATATCCCTAAATGCAGGGATATGGCGGGGGGGGAGGGAGTGTCATTCATTCTTTAATCCCCTTCCCTTCAGGCTGCGATTGGCAAAGATGAGGGAAGCCGAAGCAGCCCAGGGCCAGGCAGGTAAAGTACCCACCCCCAAGCCAGCACTGGAAATCTAGGTTTCCTGACCCGTGGTGGCCTGTCTGCACTGATCAGTTTATTCAACAAATATGTACTGGCTGCATTTGACATGCCACGCCCTCGATAAAGCGAAGAATAGGCAAGGGTGCTGCGCTCACGGGGCAGGGGTTCCCTTCACCCACGGTCGAAGTGTGTGTTTGTACCAGACCAGGCCGGGCTGTTCCTATCATGCTCTTCAGCGCAAGGTCCCAGCCGTCTGCAGCCCCAACCCTTCCTCCCTCGCCCTCAGGAGATGAGACGTATCTCGACATCTTCCGCGACTTCTCCCTCATGGCATCAGACGACCCGGAGAAGCTGAGCCGGCGTAGTCATGATCTTCACACGCTTTGATCCCAGGCCTTCGGGGGCCCCGCACACCCAGGACCTCCCCTCCCCACCGCCGACCCCATCACTATTAAAGCCTCTGTGCTTTGCTCTTTCCTTCATAAGTAATTTATTGGGCGCCACCTTCGGTCCCAGCAAGGTGTTGGGTACTGCAGCCCCCGGGGTGCGGGGAGAGGATGGAAGTTGGCGAGCTTGCGTCACGCAAGAGGTCCGGGGAAGGGAGGTGGAAGCTTTGGCCCAGCACTAACGCAGGCGGCCGTGGGGTGGAGCTCTCGCGCTCAGGCGACGTGGCCAGATTCAGGAGAGAGGCCGCCTGTGTGGGGTGGGGGCAGGCCTTCCCCTAGGTGGAGCTGGCGCCGGGCCGGGCTGAGATGGGGCGAGCGCGCTCCAGCCGCCCCGGCCCGGAGGCATCCCCGGAATGCCGCGGCTCAGCACCCGCCCCCTCAGGAATTCCCCACAGGAGCAGCTGGTAGGGAACGGCCGGGCCTCGGTGTTCTCGGAGTGGCGGGTTCGAGACCCCGGCCCGGGCCAAGTTGCAGACGTGAGATCGCGCACACCCGGGGGCTGGCGGAGCCGTCGCGGCCACATCCGGGGAGACGCGCCTGAGTCACAGTCCCAACCCCACCTTCGCTTGCGTTCGCCAGTCCAGCCCGTTCGCCCAGTCCCTCGGCGAGTCGTGGCTCCCACCTCCACCCGAGCCGCGGGGGCCTGGCGGGGGCGGGGGGCGGGGCACCAAGGGGCGGGGCTGTTCCTTAAAGGGCTCCCGGCAGCTGCCCTTAGGCCACTTCCTGGGGACGGAGAGGACCTCAGCGGTTGCGGCTTCAGCCGAGGCAGGCGGCAACGCCCGGGCCCCGAGACTCCCGGCTGCTTCCATCAGGCCTACGGACTCTCCCAGCTTGAGCTCAGAACGCCGTCGCCCCCCAGCCGCTACAGGGGCGGCTCCGCCATTCGTTCCCGTCAGCCCCGCCTCGGTCCCCTGAGACCCGCGCCTGGAGCCCAGGCCAGGCCTCTGACCGGCCCCCGGAGCCCTGCGTGGACTCGCCCACGGCGACAGCGATCTGCTCTGGAACTCAGAAGCTGGGTCTGCAAAGCGTCAGCCCTGTGCTCGCCACCGTCACCTGCTGGTTGGATTCCGGAAACCCACTGTCCGAAGACCACTGAAAGGAGTCGCCGACGCCCAAAATCGAACTCGTCTGGACTGAAAGCTCCCTTCACCTCTGGCTTCCCTCTGCTCTTTTTAATCCGTTCTATAAGCCTTGAGGAAGTTTCTGGGCCCTGAAACCATCCCCCCACCACAAAGTAGCTGGGGTGAGCCCCAAACCTTGCTGCTTGTACTCCAAGCGCTTGTGCCTCCAACCCAGCGAGTCTGAACGTTAAAACCCAATTCTTCACACATCCAGGACGTTCTGCCTTTTCTTCTCTTGCAGTGTCTCCTGTACCCCCCAAAATTTCCCCTCCTCCTGTGTCCCCTTCGCCCCCCTCCTTTGGGGGCCCCGTGACCCTGAATGTGGGGGGCACGCTATATTCCACCACTTTGGAGACCCTGACCCGCTTCCCAGACTCGATGCTGGGGGCCATGTTTAGGGCTGGCACCCCCATGCCCCCCAACCTCCACCCGCAGGGAGGCGGCCACTACTTCATCGACCGGGATGGCAAGGCCTTCCGGCATATCCTCAATTTCCTACGGCTGGGCCGCCTGGACCTGCCCCGCGGGTACGGGGAGACTGCGCTTCTCAAGGCAGAAGCTGACTTCTACCAGATCCGGCCCCTTCTGGATGCCCTGAGCGAACTGGAGACATCTCGGGGGGCCCCTGCACCCACAGCTGCCCTGCTCCACGCAGATGTGGATACCAGCCCCCGCCTGGTGCACTTCTCTGCTCGCCGGGGCCCTCACCACTATGAGCTGAGCTCCGTCCAGGTGGACACCTTTCGTGCCAACCTCTTCTGCACTGACCCCGAGTGTCTGGGTGCCTTGCGGGTCCGATTTGGTGTGGCAAATGGGGACAAAGCAGAGGGGAGCCCACACTTTCGGTTGGAGTGGGCCCCCCGCCCCGTGGAACTCCCCGAGGTGGAGTATGGGAGACTGGGGCTGCAGCCGCTGTGGGCTGGGGGGCCAGGAGAGCAGCGGGAGGTAGTGGGCACACCCGGCTTCCTGGAGGAGGTGCTGCGGGTGGCCCTGGAGCACGGCTTCCGCCTGGACTCCGTCTTCCCCGACCCTGAGGACCTGCTCAACTCCCGATCTCTGCGCTTTGTCCGGCACTGAGGATGCGGCCCTCAGTTTCATCGTGGGGGGAGAGGGAATGGGGCAGATGCGGGATGGGGCTCCCGGAAGCCTCTTCCCAGCTTTTCCTAGGGAACTTTGAGAGTCAGGGGTCCCACTGCACCTGATTTGGAGCCCATATGTGGGCAGGAATTCCCAAACCTGAGCACACCTGAGTGCTCACACGTGATCCAGAGGATCTGGAGTGTTACTATACCTGGGAGGGGTGGGGAAGGTTCCCCCGGCTTATTCTTGCCTGGGTCTGGGGATCCCAGCATCTCCTTCATTGGAGCTCAGTATTCAGGTTCTACAGAAGTAGGGAACACCTCCATGCCCAGGCTATGCCTAGCAGAACCCCAGAGGGACACCGAGGTCTGAGGGAGGGGCTTTGGATTGCCCTAATGTGGTCTCCTGGACAGAACACTGTGGCTTCTGAAGCTGGTGGCCTGGACTAGCCTGACCAATGAGAGGCCAGAAGACTCTGGAATGTGGGAAGGAATGTTCTTTGCTGTGTCCCAAGCCACCTACAGAGGGAAACAGAAAGGCTACTAACTCCACCCCATGCTGGCATGAGGGAGGTAGGAGAGCCCCATTAGCTATGGGGCTGGAGCACCCGTCTGGAGATCCAAGTAGTATTTTAAAGGATCCCGTATTAAGGGCGGGGCTTGCCACAGGGAGGAGGGTGGCATTTTCTTGGGTCCTGACCTCACTTCCCTCTTGGGAACCAGGGTTTGTGTGTGTGAGAGTCAGCCAGTGCGTCTAACTAATGTGTGGGTCCCTGGCATCCTGGGTCCCCATCTGTGTTACTGCCTTTGGTGTCTGTGTGCTGGTCCTCCTTGGTTCTCTGCATGTCCAGGCCTGTTTGGAGTTGCCCAGCAACTGTTTTAACACAGGATGTGTCTGTAGTACGTGTGAGTAGACTGAGAATTAGTTTAATCACAGGGTGTGTGTGTGTATGTGTGTGTGTACACGTTCATGCATCGTCATGTAGGTGGAGAGAGGCCTTTTGGTGTGTCAGTCACTAGGATTTCCTAGTGAGAAGGGAGAGAAGTCGCTAGGCTTATCGGGGCCTCTGAGGCCTGTATGGAACTCTTGGTTGCTGGGGCAACCACGTGCCTGTTGCTAGGAGATAGCTGGGGAAGGCCCAAGGCTGTCCAGGGCAGAGAGAGGAAATAAACAGAAGAGTTTGGGAGAGTGGGGGAGGACATAGGAAGGGATGGGATACTCACAACTTCTTCATGCGAGAGTCACTCATTATCACTGGTCATGATTTATGAGAAGAAAAATAAAATTGCTTTGTAACCACAAACTTGTAACGGCTGCTGAGGGCCAGGTTGTAAGTGTAGTCTTCCTTACAACAGAAGTCCTGCTTTCTCTGCCCATCTCCCACTAGAGATGTCTTCTTCTGGCCCCCAGTTCCTTGGGCCCCAGCTTCCCCTAGTCATAGTTGGGACAGTGACACTGTTCTGGAACACTCTAGAACCTTCAGGCAAAGGGCTAGAATTGGAGTCACAGAGAATTCTGAGGCTTTCCCAGCCCAGGTGAGGCCAGCCCCCAAACAGGCCTCATGTGGATGCTGGTACTAGGTGGGGTTTTCCTGGCAGCTGCCCAGGCCTGTGTCTTCTGCCGCCTCCCAGCCCATGACCTGCTGGGCCGCCTGGATCAGATCTGCAGCCAGATGGAGGTCCAGTGGGAGGCATGTGAGGCCTCCCAAGACTTCTCGGCCTTTGCCTTAGGTAAGACCAGGCTTGCAGAGGCACACCCAGCAACAGTTGCCCCACACCCCAAGGGAGGCAGCATGTGGCTTCCCAGCTGCATCCCATAGCCGTCACCTCAGTCCACAGCCCTATCTGGATACACTGGCCTCTCCCTCTGGGAGAACATCTCAGGAACCCCAGGCAGGCCAAGCACTTCTTTCTGGGCTGCTGAGGGAATCTCTGGCCCTTGCCCATCTCCACAGATGAAGTGTCCATGAACAAAATCACAGAGAAGACTCACAGGGTCCTGAGGGTCATGGGTGAGGTCAAGGGGGAAAGCTAGACAGAAGGGCTTGGAAGAACCCCAATGAGGGAAGTGGGAGGAAGGGAGGGAGGGAGATGAGGGCAGGTGGAGCCAGGAGGGTGTCATCAGGGAGGTGGGGGTGGGGGGTGGGGTGGAGGTGAACTGGCCCTGTGGTGGGGCCCTGGGCAATATCACTGCTCTCTGCCTCTCCAGAGATCAAAGGGTCTTTCTCCTCACTCCCTTTATATTGGGAATGGCTTCACAATACCAAGATCCCAGAATACACCAGGGAAGGTACTGATGTGATGAGACGGGGGAGGGGTGACTAGGACCTCGGGCAAAGGGGTGTGTTGCTGTGGCTCATCCACCCCTACCCCTTCCACGTCTCTCATTTCAGCTCTCTGTGCCCCCGCCTGCCGTGAGTAGAAAAGGAATGGGGTAGCAAGGACAAGAGGCTTCCTGGGCCTGGCTGTCAGAGGGCAGGAAGTGGGTGGTCTGGAAGGATGGCGGCCGGGGCTCCGCCTCCCCAGCTCGGGTCCTGCTCTCCCCCGCAGGGGGCAGCACCACCCTGTACAACTGCTCCACCTGCGAGGGTGTGGACGTGCACTGTTGGTCCAGAAAGCAGTGCTTCCCAGGTCCTTACTCCCCGCCCCTGCCTGGCCCTCCCAGATCCCTGAACCTTACACTCCTCCAGACCCGGTCGGTTTGGCCCCCAGGATCGCTCATGCCTCCGGGGTTCCCTGCAGGAAGTCACGATCTTTGGGAAGCCCGGATTCTGCTCTTCTCCGTCTTCGTTGCTGTCCTGCTTCTGAGTGTTCTGAGCCTTGTGGTGGAGTGAGTTGAGGGATCAGGCAGGAAACAGCCTCACCACCCCTCCGGGTGCCTTCTATCCCTTCTGGTCCTCCCAGCACCCACCCTGCCTCCGCCTTCCCAGCCCCTTTCCTTTACTCTCCTAGGCCACTGTTTTCCCTCAGGTCCCGCAGCCTCCAGGCAAAAAGTGGCTTGTGAAGATGCTGACAACCTCCCAGCCTCCAGCTCTAAGGGTGTGTGCCCACAACTTCCACTTCCCTTGGGGAGCACCCGGTCAGTCCCCTTAGTCCCTGCCCCAAAGGTTCCGTTTTCCACTTATTTCCAGCCCTCAAAACCCAGACATCCCCATAATCCCAGCGGTCAGATGGCCTCCGGGGACCCAGGCACCCACGCTGGAAAGTTCCTCCCCTCCAGCCCTCAACCAATCAGACAGGGGCAGCCAACAATGCCAGGAAAATATCTACCAAGGAAAGAATCCCCTCCAAGAACACCACCACTCCCACATCCCCTTCTGCCAGTTCCCGGAAGGCTGGGGCAGTCTGCCCCAGAAACTGCTCTAGGTTTTCCCATAACTGATTGGGAATCTGGGAATGATTGTTCTGGAAAACTCCCTCCCTCTGGAGTGAGGCCACATCAGTCAGTCTGCTGGGGTGCTGTCCCTCCACTGTGTTAGCCTTGTGAGGTGCTGGCCTCCTGGGAGGCCTTCCTGCTGTCAGGCACAGCTAAACCTGCTGTGGATGGCCTCCACCTGCCTGGCCTCTGTCTGCAACCGGGAGGGCAGAGGGAAAGCTGAGACTCCTACGCCAGCACAATGGTTCTCAACTGGGGGTGACTGTGCACCCCTGGAGATATTTGGTGACGTCTAAAGATATTTTTTATTTTTTCAACTCGGGTTGTGCTACTGGTATCTAGTGGGTGGAGGCCAGAGATGCTGCTAAACATCCTACAATGCACAGGACATCCCCCCTTCCCTCCCCCCCTTCCCCACCCACACACACAAAACAAAGATTTCTCCTGTCCAAAATGTCAATAGTGCCTCAGTTGAGAAACCCTGGTGTTTGGTCCCCGGCCTGTCACAAGTTTTTGGCTGGGGGCTGAGAGAAGGGAATGAAAAAGAGAGGCCTGTCATCAACCATCAGACCCTCGATGAGACGGATTGACACAGTGGCTGCAACAATGGGCTCAAACATAACAGTTGTGAGGATGGCACAGGACCGAGCAGTGTTTTCATTCTGTTGCACACGGAGTTGCTATGAGTCGGAACCAATTCAATGGCACCTCACAACAACAACAATCATCAGCCACAGGTCTCAGTCCAAAGGCCTAGGCTTGAGCGGACCCCTGCCTTCTCCTAGCCCAGTGGTTCAAACTGGGTACCTGGAGGCTCCAGAGCAGGGATTCTCCACCAGCTGCACGTTGGATTCACCTGAGCAGCTTTGAAAACTAGCCATGCTGGACCTACCTCCAGAGATTCTGAACTCAGTGGTCTAGAGCGGGGCCTGAGGTAGTCCAACATACAGTCAGGGTTAGAACCACTGCTCTAGGGCTACCCATAGAGACTCTGGGGATGGGGGAGGGGACCCCACCCCTCCAAACAGAGTTCTTCCCTTTTTGTTTTACATTCTAGTTCAATCCCTTCATTTTACACATGAAAAATAAATGAGGCCCAGAGAGCAATGACCTGCCCAAGATCATATAGCAACCCATTTATTTATTCAATAAATACTTAGTGAGTGCCACCAGCTACAGGCCAGCGTTATACTGCCCAGGCTGAATGAGACCCCACACCTCCCAACTGCCTGGGCAGCACAGCACTCCTTGGGACTGCAATAGTTGCCTGTGCCCCCTCCCCCCATGATGTACCTTCTTTCCAGGCTCATCATTTTGGAGTTGTTCTTGTTTTCACACCCAACATTCAGTGGGTCAACAAGTTCTGCCCACTCTTGAGGGCCCTGTATCCTATTTGTGCCCTCCCCCTGCCCATTCTAGGACCTTCTCACAGTGGACCCCAGTCTCTCAGATGTGCCACCTGAGTCTGCCTGTTCCCATTTCAACCCCAGTGGCCACAGTGTTCTCTCTAAAACTCCATACCTCTCACGACCTCCTTTCCAGCATCGAATGATGATTAAGAAACTTGAGCTCTGGAGTTGGACTGCCTGATTTCAAATCCTGGCTCTGTCTCTTACTGTACCTTAAACAAGTTAATTTAACCTCTCTGTGCCTTAGTTTCTTCATCTTTAAAATGGAAAGAATAATGTATTTCATTGATTCTACATTGATTTTTTTTTTAACATTTTAACATCTCTGAAGTCAGAAGGATCTTACAATTGAAGGCACGTCATGGTTTAATTTATGGCATTTCATCCCTTAGTGATACATAAAATAATGGTATGTATTACAATTGACAATATCTTAAATTAGATTAAATGCAGTCATACTTCCCCCACAGGATTGTTGGGAGGTTCAAAGAGGTTAATGTGAAATGCTTGGGGCAGTGCCCAAAATATAATGAGCGCTCATTAAGTATTAACCATTATCTTGCCCAATTAAAAACGTTCCCTAGATCCTCCTTGCCTGCAGAATCTAGGCCTGCCTCTTTACCCTGGCATCCAAGGCTCTCCATCAGCACACCTGCTGGTCTTATCTGACCCTCAGGCCAGATCTTCCCAAACCCAGATTTAACTGGAATCTGTACTTGAATGCCCCACAGGCACCTCGGACTCCACCTATCCAAAAATTACCGTCCTCCCCAGCCCCATCCTCCTCCTGTGATCTCTCTCAGACTCAAAGGCAGCACCAACTATACAACTGTCCAGGCTTGGGTCATGGATGCTGTCCTTGTCTGCTCTTCCTCGAGTGCCCACATGCTCACTTCTCATCAGGAATCAAGGCTTGTCATCTACCTTTGCAATGCTTCTTGGGATCTGGCCCCACTTGTCCCTGGAGCCTTACCTCTCAGCTCTGTCCACCTCACCCCATGCTCTATAAACCAAACCCACTGCCATCTAGTCAATTCCGACTCAGCGACTATCAGTCCACCCTCTATAGCCACACTGAATCACCTGTAGTTGTCCAAACACGTGCTGCTTTCTCATGCCTCCTCGCCTTTGCCCAGGCTTGCCCCTCAACCTGGGATTCCCTTCTCCCTTGGCTCAGGCATCACCTCTTCTGAAAAGCCTTCTCTGAGCCCCCAAGGTAGAGTGTCCCATCTCTGAACATCTCTTTATTTGGGCACCTGTTACATCAGGTGGTGGTGTTTCTTTATGTATCTTCTGTCTAGACCATGCACTACCCAAGGGCTGGTCTGTGGTTTCCTATCTTTGTTTACCCACCGCCTGGCACACAATGGACACCAGGAGACAGCCCTGCAGTGCCAGACTTTTCTCTGAACACTTGCGATATGCAATTCCCACAAAAGCCCTTTACAAGCATATGGTAGGATCCTGATGAAGTTTATGGTTATTTTCTCTGCACATCAGGCCAAAATCCCCCACTTCCCCAAGTGAGGTCTGCCAGGGCAGGGCAGGGTTTTCTGAACCCTTATGCCCAGTTCCATGGCCTCTGCACTCCACAAGGGAGGCTGCTGTGTGGTAAGATGGTTTTCTTAAAATGGCCCCCCAATATTTTGACACTTCTCCCATGGAGAGATAGGGCCTATATCCCCTTCCCTTGAATCTGGGCTCTGTGACTGGTTGACAAATAGAAATGGCAGAAGTGACTCTGTGCCACTTTCTGGGCCCAGGCCTTAAGAAAGTGGATGCTTGCACTTTCTGCCTCTTGGAACATTCACTCTTGAAACCCAGTCACCATGCTGTGAGGATGCCTAGGCTACATGAAGAGTCCACATGGAAGGGTCCCCGCCAAAAGTCAGCATCTCCTGCCAGTCATGTGAGTGATACCAGCCCCAAGCTGATGTCTATTTCTGCCTAATACCCCACACATCGTGGAGCAGAGAAAAACCATCCCCACGGTGTCCTGTCTGAATTTCTGACCTACACAGTCCAGGAGCATAATCAAAAGGTGGTTTTATGCCAAAGATCGTTTTAAGCAAAAAGGTCACTTTTATGACTAAGTTATACCTGACCCAAGCCATGGTCTTTTCAATTGCCTCATATGCATGCGAAAGCTGGACATTGAGAAAGGAAGGTAGAAGAACTGATGCATTTGAATTGTGGTGTTGGCAAAGAAAATTGATTATACCCTGGACTGCCAGAAGAACGAACTTAGAAGAAATACAACCAGAATGTTCCTTAGAAGTGAGGATGGTGAGACTTTGGCTCACTCACTTTGGACACATTATCAGGAAAGGCCAATCATTAGAAAAAGACACTTCTCCCATGGAGAGATAGGGCCTATGTCCCCTTCCCTTGAATCTGGGTTCTGTGACTTATTAACCAGATGTGGTTCATGATGGAAGCAAAGAGGCTTCTGCACGGGGATGGGCCTTAGCCTATGCCCCTGGTAAAGCAGAGGGTCAGTGAAAGGAAGGGAAACCCTCAATGAGATGGATTGACACAACAGCCACAAAAATGGACCCAGACATACCAATGATCATGAATATGGTGCAGGACCGGGCAATATTTCATTCTGTTATACATAAGGCTACCATGAGTTGGAGCCAATTCAATAGCAACTAACAACAATAACAGTGTTACTCAACAATAGATAACTGGAACAGTGGGGCAGACAAGGACCTAGGACTTGGCACTAAAGGCCCTAGGTTCATGACTTGGTTTGCCCTACCACTTCCTAGTTACATGCACCAGGAACATTACTTCACCAGCCTCAACCTTAGTCCTCCCACCTGTAAAATGGAGTTAATGATAGCTAACTTGCATGGAGGCTGTGTCAGACAACATTCTAAGCATTTTACACATTTTGCTATCTATAGCTATATAATAAATTATTCCAAAATTTAGTGGCTTAAAACAATACACATTATTTCCCAGTTTCTGTGGATCAAAAATTCAGAAGCAGCTCAACTGGGTGATTCTCGCTCAGGGTCTCTCACGAGGTTACTGTGACGATGTTGGTCAGAGGCTGTAAGAATTTGAGGCTTGACAGGGGTTGGAAGATCCACTTCTGAGGGGCTCACTCACATGTCTGGCAAGTTGGTATTGGCTGTTGGCAGGAGGCCTCAGTTCCTCACCACGTGGACCCCTCCTTAGGGCTGCTTGAGTGTCCTCACAACATGGCGGCTGGCTTCTTCCAAAGGAAGTAATCCAAAAGTAAGGCAAAACCACACTGTCTTTTAGAACCTA